GGCTCAATAAAAGGCACAAAGATGGCTTGGGACAAATTATGACGTGAGAATATATAATATAAAGTGTTTGAAGTTGTTTGAGATTGTAAAAAGGACAAAAATCGTGATCTAAGGTTTTAACACGTAACATAGCCACTCAAGTATCATAAAGCACCCAGCCAGTGCTAACAATTTGTTTCGGGCATTCAAGAACCTAGAGGATGGCCAACGAGCTCTCTCTAAGCAACCATCAGTAATTTTTATCATATTTTTCTCTCCTAATATCTAGTTAAGACAATCCAAAGTGCACTGAAAAGCTAACCAAAGAGCTACAATTTTTTTAGAATAGTACTGTTCAAATTCGAATGTTTTATGTGAAAATTTAGTTGCAACGTGTGATTGAGAATTTGGAGCATGACTTCTTGATGCACTTTGATACTCTTTTGACTTCTAATTGAATCCTATTGATCATATGTGATCTTCTAGGACAGTTTTTAGCTCTTTGACTCTTCAAGACCTATACTATCAACATATTAACTTTTTTTATTTTGATTACAACTCCACTACTTTAATTTTGTCTAAAGAATAGCCATTACAAATAGAGACTAACAAATCCCCTCCTAGCATTTTGTGATAAATCATTTATTACAAAGTTGAAATAAAAAAAAAAAAAAAAAAAAATAAAAAAAAAAAAAAAAAAAAAAAAAAAAAAAAACTTAACAACAATCTACCCAAAGACTCAATTCCCAAACATTAACTCAAATATTGTCATACGTGTTTCCTGAAACACGTGAAAACAACACCACCACATGAAACGCAAGAGGAAACTTATTATAAGGCATATACCTAAGTTGGATAAACAACTTGAGCAAAACATGTATAACACCAACGCATGTACTACTATGAATATCAAATAACTTAGAATCTAAATATGACAAGATAAAATATATAACTGAACTAACAATACAAAATAATGATATTGATACTATACACAACACGTAAAATAATATCAATAAGCAAAATATACAATATTGCTAGTCAAATTATCAATCAATCAAGGATTACTATGACTACCCCTAACTCAAATTCAAATTTAAAGTCCCTCCCTATCTCATATACTTATCAATTCTCTGAAATAAATACTAACTCCCCCCCCCCTTTGTCATGAATAACAAAGGAAGGCCACCAATATACTCATGAATAACACAAAGAAAAATTAGGCAACAAAATACATATGGACAAATTATGCAACGCGTGACATGAGAATAAAAATATTCTTTTAAGACAAATATTTTTCATAGATTTTTAAATATGACATCATAAACAATTATTTGCTTGCTTATACAAGCACAATTCATAGACATAAACTTTTCCCACATAACTTATTTTAAGCCTATATGAATAAATCGTACAAGCTACAAGTGTGAAAAGTATCACTAAACTCCTATAAGCAAGTCTCAAAATCTTAAATCAACGAGAAAAGATATGCAAACAAATCACTTGCGAATGAATATATTCTTTAAATTATGAAAATCAAATTCAATGCTACAAGGACCTTTAAATTAGAAGGCTCATATTTAATTTTTTTTCAATACATAACTTTTCTTTCTCTCCTATTTGTAAACACGTATATATAACTTATTATCTCCTTTTTTTATATATTTTATGTGTAGACTTATCTTCATTAAGCATACTTAAGGACCCATGTAACAAATTTTAGACCGTTGACTCCAAAGTCGGATGACTATAGGGCACCAAGTTTTAAAATACACAGTAAACTTAATTCCTCAAGTCAAAAAGTTTGTGAAGACAAGTATAAAATATATCATAATAATTTAATTTTTTTTGAAGCACAGTTTTATGGGAAATATGCAAGAGTTTAGGTCAACTAGTTAAACCACCACACAAATGATCGTCATTCCAAATCTCAATATGCACAATCAAAATCCACTCATAAAAGTTTAATATGTGCAGTGCAAAAGATACGTGCAATAGCCTATACCAAGTACTCCAAACTAATTCTAAACAAAGTTAATGAAAATTTTATTTGTTTTTCATAAACTAAATTAGTACTTGATTACAAAATAACATGTCCATAAAACAATATCAATGAAAGTGCTATGACTTCAAAAAATTTCTTTTTTTTTTTTATAATAAGGATAAAGCAAAAAATAGCTTATATACAATGAATGTAGGTGCATACATGAATATATAGATATCATGAACAATATGCATAGACCTAAACACCTAATCAATGGGGCACATGAGTGCTCTTAACATGAGAGCAACGTGAGCAATATCGCAATTCATATCATCACTTTGACTTCTGAATTCACTCTTTTTTATCCAAATCTTCTTAGAAGACATGTAATCTTAGTCATTAAGTCATCAATTTAGTTAAATAACTCACCTAATTGGTTAAGAATCTAACATGAGCAGTTAGATTTTGTTTGTTGTTCCTAATCAAAAGTTTACAACACTTAGGTCTTACATAACCTAACTTTCCACACTTATGACATGTAGCAATAAACCTATGAGCCACTCTAAGTTTCAAATTCTGGACATTAGGTGGAGGAAACCTATGTTGTATGATTTCGATAATCGAGCACTTGCATTCTTGGTCATGTTCCTACTCAACAGTTGTGACACTTAAGTCTTGTGTGTCCTAACTTACCACAATAGTGACACGAGGGGATGAACCTAGGAGCATCTAGATTTCGAGTTTTGAACCTTAGGTTGGAAATAGACTAGTACAAACTTATTTTTAAAACAGAAAGCGGTATAGAAGTTTGTTTTATTAAAGCCTAAACCTCATCTATTCCCAGTTGATTTTTGCAATTCTATTATGTTTTAAAACTTCTTAAAACCACTAGTTGATAGATTGAAGTCGGACATTTGATTTTTCAAATTCACTAATAAGAGTGTTAACCTTAATTTTTAAGGACTCTTTCTTAACCTTTAATTCATTTAATCATTTGGTATACTCCTCAAGTTCGACTAGAAGGTTCTCTATTTCTAATTCAAGCTTATTCAGCTTCTTAAAGACTAATATATTAACCTCATATAACTTAAGACTCTACAAACAGCTGGTCATAAACATCATGAATATCCATTCCATTCTCAGAAGATAATTGACTCATCTAAACAAAACTGGATCATGAATTACAATTAAGCTCTGATACTACTTGTTGAAAAATATTAAGAACCAAATGTGAAATTAAATCAATAACAAGCAATAAGTTGCTTATTCATTATCTCTAGATGATTAAGATCATTAATTCAATTAAAACCTAAATACCAATCATAAACGTGCAAAATTAAAAGCAATAAATTAAATAACATCAAGAATTGATGAGGAGGCAAGCCTTTTTAAGAATTCGCCATAGGAATCAAAAACCTCCGAGCAAACCTTTTCCAAAAAGATCCACTAGAAATGTCAAGTTACAATTAGCTCAGACACTATTAAACCTTAGCTAACTCCAACAACCCAACTTGTAAATCATTGAAGAACTGTTCGACTGTGCGACCCGTACTTTATAGTAAATTTGGGCTACTTTTCTCTCAATATGGATTACCAAGAACGAACTCGTTCTGGAGCTCTACAACTTCAATCGCCTCCTCTCTAATTTCAGAACTCAAAAGGCTTATAGGTGAAGGTAAGAGTTTTTCGTGTTTGATCTTTAGATTTTGTATTTTTTTCAATTTGATTGAATCAAGAAAAATTTAGAATTAATGTTTGATCACTGTAGGATGGTCCCTTGAATATATAAACGCTCATCAATAGCATAGAGATGGTTGGAGACAAATTATGGCTTGAGTATATATAATTGAAGTGTTTGAAATTGTTTGGGATTGTAAAGAGACTAAAAATTGCAATCTAGGATTTGGACATGTAACACAGCCACTTGAGAGCCATTAGGACGTCCATCGAGCTCTCATAATCTGTTTTGGGCATTCGAATGCCGAGATGGTGGCCAACAAGCTCTTTCTGAGCAATTGTTAGTATTTTCTTCATATATTTTTCTCCCGAATATCGAACTGAAGCTATTCAAAGTGCATGAAAAAGCTAACTCAAATGCTACAATTTTTTTAGAAGAGGCATTGTTCAAATTCAAATTTATTCTATTTCAAAAATATGTCGCAACTTGTCATCGAGAATTTGGAGCATAACTTACGCAGCACTTTGACACTCCTTTGACTTTTAATTGCATCCTATTGATCATATAATCCTCATGGACATCTTTTAGTTCTTTGACTCTTTCAATACTTAAACTACCAACCCATTGACTTTTTTACTTTAATTACAATTCCATTACTTTAATTTTGTCTAGATAATAACCAATTATAAATAGAGACCTAACAATTCCTAACTAATTTAACTTGTTAAATTTGGATCTCCACATGATTATGACCATCAGTGTAGACGTTAAAATAACACTTAGTGATACATTATTTACAACTCTATACTACTAAACCATTAAATATTTATCTTCAGTTCAATTTAAAATCACATGCAATTTGAACATCTAAGTTGATGATTTCCATCATGTGGGGAACAACTTTAAAAGGCTTGGGCTCCGAAAATCACTTTTGAAGGTTGAGAACCTATAACCAAACCAAGTGAAAGGTTAGAAATTACATCCCTCATTTACCCAAATGTAAATTGAAGGAGAAATACACTCTTTTGTCTAGTTATCCAAGATAAGGTGAGGAATATGGATTTTATGTCATTACAAATGATCCACATGTTTCATAAAAAAAATAAAAAAAAATAAAAAAAATAAAAAAATTGGTCAGCTACATGAGTTTTTTTTTTTTTTAATCACCTTTTTTTCCTATTCAATTGATATTTGTCCTAGAGGATCTTTAGCAATTACAAGTCTATGAATATTGATCCTTCACTCTACACATGGTCGGTCATGTGTCATAATTTGCATATAAACTATGATCCTTAACTATTAATCGATTTGATAGAAAATACACTGGCATAGTAAATATGATAAAAGTGTAATACAAATTAGGAAAGTCAAATTCACATACATCTCTTGCTTTAACTAGTATATATAATTTGGAAGATCAAAGATTTGGGCAGCATTTTTGTATTCATCAAGCTTGATCATGACAATGATTTCCTCCATTTTTTTGGAGTTTTAGCTTTTACGATCCCTAACTCGCCTTCTTTTTCTACTTCTTCAATCTTCTTGCCCCTAAATGTTGGAATTCCAATCTTCTTCCAAATGAAAAATCTTTTATTTTTCTCCATTAATTTTTCAACATGCCCTTCAAGGGTCGTGCAATGGCTCTGCAGCCTTAGAACGTCTTCTTTTAACCTCTTCATTTCCTTTTTTTGCAAGTTCATTTCATGCTTTGACGGGCAGTTTGCAGGGGCGTCTAGAGCAATGTTTGGACTAAGCATGCCACTGCAATATCCACTGTAATCAAGAATCCGCTTATTGAGCTTGTTTTGCTCTGAGAAGAGAACTTGAACAACAGTGCGAATGGGCAATCGCTCATTTTGAGCTGCATGAAGGGATGCCTCTGGTGAAAGTTTTGTGCTATCAATTAACTTACAGAGCATGTTTCTTTCTTGCTTTGACACCTCTGGATGTGCCTGGCAGAATAATGAAATCTTGATTAATTCCATAAATCCTTCAATTTTCATAAATTTATCTGGGTTATTGTACTGAAAGAGCCTGAATCGGAACTAATAAAACATGCTGGTTATATTAATCAGTTCTAATTTTAGAGTTAAGATCGAGAATGGTGAGGTAAATGTTGCCAATAGGTCGAGTTATAACCTTAGTTAGGTTTATTAAGAGTAAACATGGTTATTGTATGTGCATCTTTGTGATCCTTTCTGCATATATAATTGCTTAGTTGTGTCAAGTTGATATGTTATACTTTCAATTTATTTGTATGTGTAACTATATTAATTAAAGTGATCTTATTACTTTGTGTAATGTGTTTGCATACATAGTAGGTTGAAATCTGTGGCGTGCTCATTTTTCTCTAAGTGGTAAGAGAGAGCGTAGTAGTAAGAAAAAAGAGGGACAACCATTTTCTCATTTGTCTTTGTGATCCTGTATGATTTGTGAGATTATATAGGGCAGTCATATGTGGGTTATCTTCTTCCTATTTATGAGCCTCTTTTGTGAGTGTGGGAAAGTAGCAAAATCTTTCTTCTATTCTCTTTGTGAATACCACCTTCACCCTTCCTTTATGGATAAATCCTTTATGAACTTCTTAAGCTTTGGCGTTGGAATAACCTTGTGTGTATGAATCGATTAAAATTGAGCTCTAACCTTTGTGGTCACTAAAGGTGTTGATTTCGTCATAATAGAATGAGATGCATTAGAAGTGTATATGTCTATTGGTAAGGTGGAGCATAGAAGCTTAGAGGTACATTGGTGGTTTGTAACATTTAAATCACGAGCGGAGAAGTGATTAAACACCTAGAATCCTTTATCTGTAAAGATCCTGATCCGGTAAAGTGTGAGTGACACTTCTATCACTTCTGTTAGATGAAAATCCATTATCTACTTAAGTTGGAAAAAGTGAGGTGATGATAGAGGATAATAACATTAGACTTAGGATTTATGGAGATCTACTAATTAGACATGAGTTTGGCGATCATTCCAGTGTGTTCTCGAGGTGTGAGCAACACAAAAAGGGATAAGATAAGTGCGGCGAAATCTTTTCATGGGTTCATTTGTGCATTTTTTGGATATGTGTTTAACCCTTTAATTGATTAACTTGGTGTTAATCTTTTGTTCGATGTAAGCATGTTAGGAAAGATCTGTGTGTTATCATATGTTATATCTTCATCGGATGTTTATTTGCTCTTGATTAATTACTGTAATTATCTGTTCCTACTTGAGTTTTCTTTTTACCCTAGCTCTAGTAAAGACATGGAGTAGGTATGGTTTGCATTTCGAGATTGAGACACGAGATAAGGCATGTGATCCCAATTTTATTAGTTACCTTAATTATATAAGTATTAACTTTGTATTTTAATTTCTTGTTGGTTGATTAAGTATCAAGGTGGAAATTTATTGGATTTTGATAACCAATAAATCCCAAGCAACAATGTCAAAATGATGTTAGATAATTTTATATTGACAATTTAGAGATGGCTGGACCAGAAAACAACTTGGAGCCACTAGAATCAACTTAATTAAGTTAATGTTGCTCATGATTCAACAATTTTAGAGGGCACAAGTTGTGGTTATTAGTTGGATAGCGATATGTATTGGCCCATTTACCCTCAGTAAGTTGTGGTCTTTAAATGGCAAACCATTTAGTAAACTTGTGGCAACCAGGTGCGTGAAGTTGTGGTTCTAACTTCCTTTTTCTTTAAATGGCAGCCTATTTAGTAAACAAACTGAGAGAGGTGAGGTGAATGTTGCCACTCAGTTAAGTTTTAACTCGAGTGAGGTTTTTGAAAGTAAATATGGTTACTGCATGTGAATCTTTGTGATCTTATTACTTTGTGTAATGTATTTGCATGCATAGTGGGTTGAAATCTATAACGTACTCCTTTTGTTTTGTGAGTGGTGTAAGTGTAGTAGTGAGAAGAAAGAGGGCAAGTCATTTTCTCATTTATCTTTTTGAGCCTATGTGGTTTGAAAGATTATATGGGGCAGCCATATATGAGTTATCTTCTTCCTCTTTATCAGCCTTTTTTGTGAGTGTAGTAAAGTAACCAACTCTTTCTTCTATTCTCTTTGTGAGTACCACTTTCACCCTTCCCTTTATGGGATAAATCCTTTGTGAATTTTTTGAGCTTTGGTGCTAAAATAACCTTATGGTGTGTGGGTCAATTAAAATTGAATCCTAACCTTCATGGTATCAAAGGTGTTGACAGTGTGTATGTCTATTGGTAATGTGAAGTATAAAAGTCTAAGGATACATTGGTTGTTTGTATCGACGATGTAGAGTGTGATATTTTGATCACGAGTGGAGAGATGATTAAATGCCTGGAATCATTTATCTGTGAAGATCCTAATCAAGTGGAGTGTGAGATTGACACTTGTATCACTTCTGTTAAGTAGAGACACATTATCCACTTAAGTTGGGAAAAGTGAGGTAGTGATAGAGGATTACCTTTAGATATGAGTTTAGCGATCAGTCTAGTGAACAAGGTGGGCAATGAGAGGAGTTATTTGTTCTCACGATATGAGCAATACAAAACGGGATAGGATAAGTGTGGTAAGATCATTTCATGAGTTCATTTATACATTTGTTGGATATGTGTTTGACCATTTGATTTATTAACTTGGTGTTAATCTGCTGTTCTGTGTAAGCATTTTTGGAAAGATCTGTGTGTTATAATGTGTTATATCTTCATTTATAGGTTTATTTGCTCTTGATTAATTACTGTGATTATCTGTTCCTACTTAGTTTTTTTCTTTTTTTTCTTTTTTTCCCTTAGCCTAGTACATCGTGTAGGCATGGTTTGTGTTTCAGGTTTAAGATACCAGGTAAGGCCTGTAATCCCAATTTTATTAGTTATTTTAATTATGCAAGTATTAAATTTGTGTTTTGATTGCTTGCAGATTGATTAGGTGTCAAAATGGAGATTTATTCGATTTTGATATCCAATAAATCCCAATGACGATGTAAAAACAATATTAGATGATTTTAATTGAGTTAATGTTGCTAGTGACCCAACACTTTTGGAGGGCCAAAGTTGTGGTTATTTGTTGGATGGTGATATTTATTGACCCATTTATTCTTGGTAAGTTGTGGTCTTTAAATGGCAGCCCATTTAGTAAACTTGTGGCAACCAAGTGGGTAAAGTTGTGAATCGAGTCTCCTTGGTTGGTATTTGTTTGGTAAGTTTTCGTGAACTCGGAATCGAGATTTCAAAGAGTTTCCTCAATAGGAGCCAATGGTTCGATTTACATTATTCCCATTGATTCTTGATTCGGTTCTCTTCAAAATTAGACTAAAGAGGATCGTGCCACACCAAACAGTAATGGACAACGTGTATAAAATCTAATGTTTAGGGCATCTCGGTAGCTTTTTGTGTGGATAAAATATATTTATGCAACTTAACATAGCCACAGAATTATAGAAATATTGTATCCTAGCTGCTAAACTGTTCGGTGAAGAATCTAATGCTGGTGACAATACAAGAACTCCCACTCACTTTTATCCAATTTTTGAACCAGCTAAAAGAACCTTGAGATTTCTAAAATTCATTGTCTACAAATAGATTGAATAATCAATTGAGGGTTGCAAAGATTGTTCCTCAATTAGCTCCTAAACACACATTGGCATAAAGTTAAAGTTAGATGGTAACCAAAACAAAGAAATGTCGTTAGATATAACTTACTTTGAGGTAGGTATCAATGGCACGATACAGTCCATCATCCATGGTGCGAGCATGGCCTGGAAGCGTGCTAGCAAGAGTGACAAATTCGGACAATGTGACGTTGGAATCGATGGCAGCCTCTGCAAGGTAACAATCCACAAGCTTCACGACTTTAATAAGGGCAGCTCCACTTCTTACAGCTTCATCTAAATTCATGAACCCTCTAACCAGTCGAAGAACAAGCTCCACATCGAGCAGTGTCATACAAGTGTGACTAAATGATGGTATCATCAATTCTCTCAAGGAAGCCTGGTCGAGTTGCCATGAAACGCGCTTTTCAAGCTCAGCACGATAAGCAGGCTCGACGCGAACCATGCTAGCAATGCGTAGTAGCCTTAACAAAAAGTTGCAAGGAATTGATTCCTTCTCTGGAGGTAGAATTCCCACTAGAGTTTCAACAAAGAACCTTTTCTTCATCCATGAAGTGGTAACACTCTTGGGGGACTCCTTGGCGATCGCTATCAATATTTGACTGTCGGACAGTTCAGGAAGCCATTTCGAAGCGTAATGTGTTATAATTGAACCAATTAAATCAGGCCTCACCCCCTTTTCCTTGATGCTGGAGAGTCTCTTGACGAAATGATCCATATCGAGAATGCAGTCGTCGTCGAACCAGCATAATTTGGAGTCTAACACTGCTGCCTTGCAAGAAAAAGTGTTGTATTCAGGCGATGTTAGTTTCTGCATTTTGATAGACTAATTTTTGGAGTTGGAAATGAAGAACCTTTTTTATAGTAACGAATGGCTCTTTCAAGACACTGCATAACAGTAATTGGAAAAGTATGCAATTCACCTAATGTTAAGATACTGTATCCATATGTTAGGTCTCAGTGATCCCAACCGACCTATCCTAAGGTTGCTTTTTGTGTACCATATTACATTGTATTAAAAAAAATATGGAGAATAAAATAAGAATGTATAGCAGTAGGTATATGGTGGACTAGGGTAGATAATTTTTTTTTTTTTTAAAAAAAAAAAAAAAAAAAAAAAAAGGATCATTTGCACTATAACCATATAACATAAGAATCGAGCTTGTCACAGGGCTGTACAGGCCACTCACACACGCAAAGGGGTGGGTGAATTTAGTTTTTTTGAAAATAATCATCCCTGGCCCACCTACCTCGACATGTATCTAGCCTATACAGCCAGAATTATTCATAACATAAATGCGGATGGTGAAAATGTATCTAGACCCATGAGATAAATAATATAAATGGCTTTCTTTTGAATGAAAAAAACTAAAAAATAATATCCACCTTGATCCACAATTATACCATTATTATTCATTTTAATTTTATACTAAGGGTGTGTTTGATTAAAACTATGAAACTAGTAGTAAAGAAAAATAAATTCTAAACAATTGATTTTCATAAATATATTTGCATTAAAATTATCAATCAAGCTTAAAAAATGTTGTACTTTTTCATAAAATTGAGTTTATGGAAAGTGTAAATTGCTTCAAAAAATAAAAATACATCCCGATAAAAAAAAATGTTTTCCTTGTTTTTCAAAAAAACATGATCACAGGCCTAGTTCTGCCCAAGGCCACCTAGGCAACCTTGGATCTCAAGATATGAGACGGCCTCAAAAACATTTTGAAAGCACAAAAAGAGTATTATTTGTGAAATTTATTATATCAAATAGCGCAAAGAAAGCATAAGGTCGTCTCCCTACCCAATAATGTCTTTAATTTCTATTCTAATTGCTGCTTTTGAATTTTTTTATTTCTAAATATAATACATTTCGGAAAATAAATTATACTCACTGCCCTCATACTTCACTGGTTTCCAAAAACCATCTATATTTTATTTCTTGAACACAAAATTTGTTTCTCAAACGAATCAAATGGTGAGTGAGTACCATATAGTGGTCCAAATCACAAGAAAACCGTTTGATTTCTTCATGTTTGATTCTAATACGCTTGTAAAAAATTATGTGTAGGGGCATGATAATTTATCGTTTAGGGTCTAAAAATTTTTAGGGTCGGCCCTGCATGGTTGCATTACCAACTTTTGAAAAAATATTTTCCATAAAGAAAATTAAACTTGGGTGGGAAAAAAAACATTTTCTATGAAAAATAAAGTCAATCGAACACACCTTAAATTCTTATACATAATACGTAGACCAAAAGCAATTGGTTGTTTTTTGAGGGTGTGATAGGCGTCTTCTTCATTATTGTGAAAATATGCGGTGGGAAAGTGGGCAATCATTATAAATCCATGTGTAGCCTTTGCTTGTTATCTAAAAAAAAAAAAAATGTTGAACCCCAATCTTAAGGGTCCCTCATGGCCCTGTCCCTGAAGTATCATGAGAGAGGTTAATCGCAGGATGTCCCCATCCTTTGCTTGTTTTCTAATTTTATTTTGGGGAGCAAAAAGACAACTTTTCAACCATTGGCGCTATAAGTTGGGAACATGGTTGATGCAAGGATAAGGACAAGATTGCGAAGAGAGTTAGGTGCGTGATGAGAAATCCAATTTAAGTCTCTATCAAACATTTGTGGTGTTATGATGAGTTTTGTTCTTCACTGATAAAGAATGAGCCATCATAAGTTCGGGTAATAACCGAAATGGTCACTGAACCTTACAAAAGGTTTCAACGGAATCATTGAACTTCAAAATTCACCCAATTCATCACTAAACTTTGCAAATTTTAATCCCGTTCGCCACTATAGTCCCGTGCCGTCAAAAACTTGATGGATTACTGACGTAGCTGTGCACATGGCTTGTTGTATCATATTGTGGCTGCCAAATCAAACAAGTGCTACTTAGGTGGATTATTTTAAATTGTTAAAACAAGTTTAAAAAAAAAACAAAAAAAAAAATCAATTTAAACCCAAGCCCAAGCCCAACTCTATTAACCCACAAAACCCTATCCCTTTCCCGTCCATCCAACAACTATATCCCCAAATCGCCTCCAAGAACCTTAAGTACAACCGATCAATCTGGAACTACAGCAACCCAAGCATTGATTGTAGCCGAACGAAGATTGAACTTAGCTCCAGCAACAAGAAATCGACCACGGCCGACACCGAGCAGCATCCAACTGGTAAGAAGCAACAATCATCCAGTGTTTGCGCGTTATTGACGTTATGTGCACATTTTTTTAACTCGGCTCCTTTAATGTCTTCCCTTCAAATCCCCATTATTCTGAACTTCTCTATCATGGTTTGTCAACTGAATTTTTCGTGTTCGAAGTTTCATTCATGGAATGATAAGATTTATATAGGGTCATTTCTTATTTGCATTCTCATATATGTTAAATGGTATGTTTAAGAGTATATAGGTTTATTTTTTATTTTCGAAACCTGCTGAATTCTGACTGGATTCAGTTTACGATAAAAACAGAATTCAGTATACTAATTTATTTTTTTGGGTACGCTTGCAGACATTCAGGTAGATGATGATCCAGACTTCAACGATTCTAACCATGATGTATATGATGATGATGACATATTGTTTGATTGTAACGTGATCGAAGGCATCAAAATGGGATTGCATATCGAGCCACAGGATGAAGATGCCCTGAAATCAGATAGATCGTCAGATGCATCTTCTGAAGAAATAAAATTAGGTAGTGGTTTGGACTCGGATGAGAACATAAGTACACATGACTTTCCTGAATTTTTTCCTCAAAATGAGAAGTGGAATCCACACCTCGAGATAGGGTTATTGTTTGGTGTATTCGAGGAGTTGAAAAATGTTGTTAGAAATTACGTAGTCTTCAATTAGGTTGAACCAATTTTCTAGTGAAATGATAAGAATGGAGTCCATTGTGTATGTAATGATGGTTGTCCATGGAAGTTATGGGCATCTAAGCTTCAAGGTCAGGACACAGACCGGATAAAAATATACGACCCTAAACATACTTGCATAAAGATACGTATGAATAAGTATGTAACATATAAGCAGCTTGTTGATTATTACATGGAGGACTTTAGAGTCGATCCTAAATGGAAGACAAAACATTTTAGAACTAGAGTGCATATTACAAAGACAGCTGCTTGGAATACTAGGAAATACACAAAAGTCTTAATAGAAAGGAAGGATGCAGAACAATTTGCGAAGTTAGGTTGTTGTGTTGAGGAATTGTTAGGTTGTTGTGTTGAGGAATTGAGAAGAACAAATCCTGGTTCTACTGTCATCATTTCTTATGCAAAACATGTGTTCAAGGGTATATTTATGTTTGTATAAATGCAAGCAAAGGGTTTTCTATAGGGTTGTAGGTGTTTTGTTAATGTGGATGGATATTTTCTGAAAGGAAAATGCAATGGGCAACTTCTAGCAGCAATAGGGGTAGATGGGAATGATTGCATATATCCAATTGCATATGCAATTGTTGAGAGAAAGAGCACTAGTTCTTGGCAATGGTTTTTGACATTGTTGTTTGAAGACTTAGCTATGGAGAATTGGTTATCCGATACCCAGGGGTGTTAATAAGTCGAGTCGGGCCGAACTGGCTCGCAAGCCGAAATTTTCGGCTCGGACATTTTGAACGAGGGCTTTTTTTGGCCTGAACCGAGCCGAGCAAAAGTTAGACCAAAAAATTAAGGCTCGACCAGAGCCAAACCAGCTCGCTTTTTTGGAAATTTTTTTCTTCTGCCAAACAAGCAGCTCGGATGCTGCCAGTTAAGTTAGTTTAATTGCCAAACACGCAGCAAATTGACAACCCTCTTTTTTTTTAAACTGCCCGAATCGAGCCGACTCCCCAAAATGGGGATCGGCTCGAGCCTTGGCTCGGTGCCTCTGAGCCTCGATTCGGGCTGGTTCGGGCTTTTTCCAGGCCAATCTATGGGAGGCCAGAGCCGACAAGCCCAATTGTCATCCCTACCGATACCTTCATGAGCGACAGACAAAATAGACTAACCAATGTTGTGCAGGATTTGTTTACGAAAGTAAAACATAGGTTTTGTGTTCGGCATATGTTTCAGAATTTCTTTTGTAGTGACTTCAAGGGTAAACATTTGAAGGATTGTGTGTAGCGACAACAAAGTCAAGCCATTTGGGATCCTTCGAGTATTGGATGGTGCAGATTGAAAACGCTAACGAGAATGCATATGGATGGTTTATTAAAAATTCACCAATTGCATGGACTAGATCTCACTTCTCAGATTAGTCGAAGTGTGAAATGTTTCTTAACAACCTATGTGAGTGCTTCAACAATTTTATTCTAGGTTTTTTGAAATTGCTTTTCCATTCCATATGTTGTTGCACACGGAACCATTTGGGAGAATGACTTGAAATGAGCCTAGAACTCCTTCTTTGCCTTATTTCTCAACGCTCGCTCATACTATTTAACGAACTGTTTCAACGAAGTTTTCGAGTGTACATACCCATTGAAAAATGCGTTCATGCCCTCACTCCGCTATGTTGTTGACATCCTAGCCCAAAAACTTGTTTTTAAGAAACAAGGGACCCAACAACCTCTGTTCTCATACAATCCCGACAACTATTCATTATCATGCAACTTAAATATTTCGATCATCGATCCCCAACCATGTTCAAAATTTTCAACTGTCTGAGAATCATACACCAAACCATGTATTGTTGAGAATATTGAACCCTTATCGTTGTGATACCCAATTTTTTTTGGGCAACATCTTCAAAATGTGTCATAAGCATCATCTATACTTTGTATTTGGGAAAACTATCTGAATGGCATTTTGCATTGTCCTGCCTTGATCAGTAATTATTCCATGTGGAGTTTGACCATGCATACACTTAAGCCATGTCTTAAAAAGTCACACAAATGTATCCGTGTTCTCATTACAGACCAAACTACAATTGAACAGTGCTGATTGTCCATGCTGATTGACGCCAACAAAAGGCGCAAAAGGCATGTCATATCTTTTAGTCAAGTAAGTGGTATCAAACGTCACGACATCCCCAAACTCCTTATATGATTCCCTACATCGATTATTTGCCCAAAATACATTCTTTAAACGCGAATCGTCATCCAAATCTATACAAAAGTAAAATCCTACGAACCTTGCCTGCATATCTGAAAAATTGGACTGTATTGCTGGCGCATCTCCCTCTCCAAAGCTTAATCGCCTAACTTGTTCAATATAATTTCGACAATCCTTTTCAATGCATATCATATTTTCATATCCACCGGCTTCCACAACTGCTGAATTGAAACTTTTGTGCAATGGAATTTCAGTCGTGTCATTCACTTCAAACTTTTGTTTCACAACCGTGCTTAGTTCTTGATTGCATCAATCCAATCTTGACTTCGTTAGATTTGTTTTGTGATTGTGGTCGAGGTGTACCGTATTAATTCTCCAGTAACCATGATTATCTGCAGACGCAGAGATCCTGGCTTTACAACCTGTCTGAATTGTAGGCTGTGGCTTCAAAGAATTCATTTTTCTCATTGGAAAACCTACGTTGTAAGCATATAATTTGTAAAAATCGAAGACTTCATTTTCGTCCTTGAATCTCGTACCAACCTCCGGCACAATCACTTCATCTCCTCTCAACGTTTCCTCTTCAACTACATTCATATTGTGCTCCATGTTGACATTTTCGGAGTCCACTCAAGAATTACTTTCCCCTTCCTCCATCATCGATTATCCTACGATAAAATTAGTGGACATTTTCAGTAAAACATGACTTCCAATTTCCACCAACAACGAACTGCAAGAAAAAGAGGAAAAAGATTAGATTTCGAATTAACTAACATCTAACAGTTAATTTTGGACCTAAAAAACCTTGAAACAAAGAAAAAATAAGGGGTGTCTTGTTTAGCTCAAAGCATTCTGGAGGGAGATACATGAGATTATGGCAGAAGCTACGATCAATGGAAGAATATGTAGAAAAGCAAAGGCATTCCAATACAAAAGTCCAGAATCTAACATAATTACTGTGTGAATGAGACTAAATAAAAGACGCCTTGATTCGCTTCTTGATTCAAAGGAGGCACATACAGACGCTCATATCAATCAGAAACTGTGCGAATCTGATTGATATTTTCTTATTCAGTATCTTGATTTAAAAGAGGCAAGACATCACCATATAAGTCGAGATTCTTCGAAGGCAAGTAGAGTTTCCGGAAAAAATGGGTTGTTTCACATTGTCCGATAGAGTTCTCGGAAAAAATCAAGCTCAGATGAGACGAAATCGCAGAGTTGTTTCTTCCAATAGAAATTCAATAGCAGGCCCCTTGAAAAAATGGTATGGTATATTGCTATGATAATGCTCTATAGAGTTTTTTTTTTCCTTCCACTATAATTTGGGTAAAGGTGAATTGATGATAGAAGGCCCCTTTTTCTTCCAAGAGAAATTTCCCGCCTAAAATGAAGTGGGGTTGGTGGAACAAGAACTTTATTTTTCATTTGAGCCGTGCTACATGACCACATCGGTTGACACAAAGGTTGACATATCACACACACATGAGAGCTAGACATTATTTTATTCGCACGGGACTCACACCTCGGCTATGAGAGATGTGTCAACCTTTGTGTCAAACAATGTGGTTGAGTAACATTTTTCTTTTCATTTTGCATCTGAGCCATCCAACCTAACTGCTTCAGAGTCGTACACATCGTGTTGTAACCCATAATTATAACCCAAAGTTGTACAATGAGCATTTTCCTCATGTAAAAGTATGGACAAAAATATTTATGTAAAAATATTGGTACAGAATTATGGTATATCGTTGGTAAGAAATGAGAGGGACAATGCACTCCTAGTTATGAGGGACAATGCACTCCTAGTCTATATCTTTGTTTGGTGAGGATTAAAATTATAATTTTAGTAAATTTTGATAAAAGTTTTTGAAATATGTTGTTCAAAAGTCGTAGAAGCCATAAAATATATGGTTTATATTAATTATTTAACTTTGATTTAAATTAAAATTCGATTTAAATCAATACCAAACAGGGGCTAAGTGGGCTACAGGAGAGCAATTAGTACTTGATCAAGCATAGGCAATTCGGTTTCAAAATTCACGTATCATCACAGCACGAACTTGTCGTTTAAAATGAAATGCCCATTTTGATATTGCAGAAGTAAACAAATGTAAGATTATTTGCTTGCTGGAATATGGCTTTAACGTCGATATTGACTTCCAAAAATGATTAATCGAGTAGTCATTTTTTGCCCACGTGAAACACCCTAATGTGTAACTTTAATTTATTAATGATGGGACAACTTATTTATTTAAATTATTTTCCATGAATCTTCAAGTGAGTCAGATTTTATTTTTTTTTCCATCAAATTTCTAATATTTGAATAATTTTTCATAATTGGATTACTGAAACTCGATTCATGACTCTTTTTTCATTCTTTTTTTACATAAATCAGCAAAATTTAGAACTAATTCTATTGTTAGCCAATATTTATGTAGTGTATTGTTACCCTGCTAGTGCCTACATTCTTAACTGCCACAAAATGAACTAGAATAAGAATGTTTATGTCCATTAGAAAATATGGGACCCTATTAAGAGATTGTCAATCTAGCTTTACTTGAAAATTGTCGCTACCTATTTCAACAACTGAACATTAAGCCTCCGTTTGGCCCTCATTTTTTTGAAATGAAAATTGATAGAATAGTATTTTTTTGAAAAATAATGAAAAATTTTCGATTCACATACAATATCATTTTATGGAAGATTGTGTTCAGGGACGAAATTTGGGAGACTAGGTTGGGCTGTAGTCCCCTCGCTCTGGCCCAAGAAGTTTTTTTAAAGTTTTTTTTTTTTAAATAAAAATCAGTTTTTTACGTATAATTTTTTTTTTCACGTATTAATTCAATCTTGAATTCAAATTTGGATCCATCCCCGATTGTGTGATTGAAAATAGAAGAAAGAAAAATAAAATGTAATTTGATAGGGGGCCAAACGGGGACAAAGAATCATGAGTATATTAAGCTCCCATTTGCCCCCATTAATTTTTATTCCATTATTTATTTTTCTCTCTTCTATTTTTAAACACACAATATTCCATAAAATAATATTACATGTAAATCGAGTTTTTCTTTCTTTTTCAACCATTTATTTTTCATTAAAAAAAAAAAACCTACTTCCCCTATTAATTTTATCACAAAATGGGAGTCAAACGGGGCTAAGAGAGAAATATGGTTGCGTAGATTACAAGAAGAAAATATGTTGATATTGGAAACTCCACCTATCAACATTATTACATTACTTCAAGCTAAAGAATAGGGTGGCCGTTAAGGCCATTAGTAGATTTTGTATGTATTCTATTTTTTCTTCCTGTGTCCCCAAAAATTAAATAAATAAAAATAAAAAAATCCCACATTTATAAAAATTAAATTGCTAGAGATGGGACAGTTTCAACAAATTATTAGAGATTGGACAATTTATTTATCTAAGTTATTTTTTACACCCATCTTACATGCATGTCATATTCATTTCAATCGAACTGAGCGTACATGTTTAGCTCTTACAGACCCTTTACAGGGGTCTCATATGGATGGAGTCGGTTCTTTTTTTCTTTTTTCATTCTTTTATTTTTTTTATTTTTTTGCCATTTTATATTGTATCCGGCCCCGCATGAGGGCCGACCCATGTGATGGGTCTGTAATTCCCCTGTGAATTTTTTTCCTGGGATTTGTTATATTCATTTTTCTTTCTTGAAATGACTAATACTTGCACACTTCTTTCATAATTGGGCAGTACAATGCCGTGTTAACTTCTTGTATTTAATAAAACCTTCAAGTGAAGGAAAAGATAATGTAATCTCGTTGTTTCTTTATTTCATCCAATTTATACAAAAAGATTCACACAATTTAGACCTTTGGACACAATTACCATGGATATTCTTGTGTTGTGACAAGGAACAATTTCCCTATCTCTGTCCAATCAAATCTATTTTATAAATTTAAACAAGATGTCTCTAGCAACGCTCGAACATTTCATTATAAGTTCAAATTTTACTCAAAACTAAGATTTCATTGTCCTAGATTGTCTTCACAAACGTTATTAATCATATTAAACTAATTTAAACTCAAATATAAAAGCTTTTCACCATCTTCAATTACTTTACGATGGGTAGACGTTTTTGTTGATGACAAAAAATGATATTGCACTTTTTAATCCACTTAAAGATATTAACTCTCTCATTCACCATTCGTCCCTTTGTATAGGTTGATGAACTCAAGCTTGTCGTCCTGATCATATGAAACTACAATGTTCCGACTTCAGGCTATATGTCATCGTCCTTTTGATGGAATCTAATTTTTCGTGCTATAGATTTTTTGTCGATAGCTTTCGTGTTCCTCCACGATGGAAAATAATTGCAATTGTGGTCTTAAATTTTTTTATCTTTCAATGATGAAATTGAGCAAATTAATTCTCATTCACATCATTGGCAATATAGATTTCTAAACAAAACATAAAAGTCTATTTAAAATATCAGGTCAATTTTATATTTTTTTTTCCATGAAGAACCGTACAAGTAAATGATGCTTTGCATTATCTTAAATCATATCAATTTACCTCCATGGAGATAGAACGATGTTTCAGACCAACAAAAAAGAAAGGAATGGATCAAGAATTGGGAAAACTCCCATTTATCTCCAAAAGCAGAGCTGTGAATTTCCTTCTACTTTATCGAGTAGAAAACAATGTTTCTATAAAAAAACAAAAAGTAGTGTGTGATTCAAAATTTTACTCTCCACTTTGTACACATGGCTATACAATTAAATCACGTCAATGGTGCCACCGGGGCACTTCTCCCCTGGCAAAGGAAGGGTTCTCTTAAGGCTGGCAGTTCAGAGGTCGTGAGTTCGATTCATGGGACTCTTAGAAGACAAGACATATACTGGAAGGTAGGAATGTCTTGGAAGGCAAGGCGCAACGTAAGTTGGCTTACTAGGCACTTTGACAATTCAGTTGAAGAAGTGCTCGGACTCTAGTCAGTAGGAGGCACATTCCACCGTTTAATTGGTCTGTGTGAAGAGAGGTCGGATCACAGACCTAAAGAATAATTGTCGAAGGCGGACACCTTGATATAAAAAATAAAAAAAAATAAAAAATAAAAAACTTCAATGGCTATTGACTTCTTGAGTAGTTGTGCCAATAATGACTACAGTTATTTTTTCACGATAATAATAACTCTAAACTGTTGTAATAATGGCCACTCGTAAATAAAAACAAATATTAAATCCTATATAATACCATTAAGCGAAACGACGTTAAATATTAAAAGCACTCAGTATGAGAAAACGCAATATAACTTTGAAAGCATATACTTGTAACCAACTGTTATATCTTTGCCAAAAAAGGGACTGCTTGGAAGAAAGAAGAAAGAAGAAAGAAGAAAGAAGAAAGTAAATTAGTACCATTTTCGCGAAATAAAACAAATAAAATTCGCATATTACGCCTGTAGAAGACTCGAAATGATGGCTTAAGTCGATTATAAGCCTACTGGTTCCACTTATTATTACAAATTAAACAAAATCTTACAACAAAAATAATCCAAGAATTCATAATAGTAAATCCTATCTATTACCAAACCATCTGACAAATTCTTCTATCCTTCCTTACCCTCC